TGTATAAGATTAAGCTAGTCTTACCGTTAGTAGGCCTCATTCACGAAGCCGATCTATAAGGGGGTATAAGGAAATTGCCTATAAAATGATGATTGAATGGGTGTCCACTCTCACCCACCACTTCCTTGATTGGTGGAGGGTCGTTAGCCGAACGGGTAGGATAGGGCAACTAATTCCTCATTATAATTATAATGAATATATAAAGTAACTAAATGTTTTTATAAAATTCCCAATCTTAGTTACTTTAGGAAAAATGTGAAAATGATGCTATTCCATGAAATTACACTTTGTACCCTTGCCAAGACGTTAGTGGAGCGTGTGTGGTTAACCGGCACACTAATTTGGGTCTAGCAAAGGTGGCAAAGGGTGACTCGATGTTTGTCATAGATCAATGGAGCGTTTATGGCTAACCGACACATTGATTAGGTGACTGTAACATTGAGGGCACCAAGTACATTTTCATGGTTATTCACACCTTGTTTGTGATCCTCGGTATCCCAGTCACAAACTTGAAGGGCATATCGAGATTTAAACATGCCATTGAAAATTTCAATGAATCTCAAAAGATCTAGGAGTTTTAATACATTTAAAACTTAATCTTTGTTTTTTGTTTTTCATTGTGGAAATTAGTGAATCGTAATTCACTTACCTTCAAATTATTTGCGATTTAGATTACGACATCCCTCTTCTAAATTGTGAATAATGGTGTTGGGTCCTAGCCCTAATTTCTCATTTGGGTGTTTAATTGGGGATTCTTATCTAATCAAACTTTGTCTCACTTCTTTTTCAGATGTCTACTCAAAACAACAACAACGCTTCGGGGACTAATGCTTCTGGCTCCTTCTCTCTCATGAACCTTTGTGGGAGAGTGATCTTCAATGGCACCAATTTCAATGATTGGATTCTTAACATACGAATGGTGACCAGATACGAGGACAAAGAATATGTCCTCGACAAGGAGCTCAAGGAGATTAACCCTAATACTGCTACTCCTGAAGAGATCGCTGCGTATGATTCCCATGAAAGGGAGGCTACTAAGGTCCATTGCATCATGCTTGCACCTATGACTGCCGAACTCCAGAAGTCCTATGAGGACTACTATCCCTATAAGATGCACCAGGACTTGATGGAGAGGTACCATCAAAGTGCCAGGCAATAAAGGTATGAGATCATCGTCTCGATGATCACTACCAAGATGAAGGATGGAGAGTCCATCACGACCCATCTCCAAAAGATGCAGAGGTATGTGAACCGCTTGTTGAAGTTGAATGTTAACTTTGAAGAAGAGTTGGAAATTGACATCATTATCCACTCCTTACCTCCTTGCTACAATCAATTTCTTATGACTTATCACATGAATAAGGAGGAGGTTACACTAAGAAAGCTTCAAGGTCTCTTGCGAACTGCTGAGAGCAATCTCAAGGACAAACCTGTTGCATAAACTCCTACTGGTGTTGCCCCTGTCCTTGCTATTGGGCAAGGCAAAGGAAAGAAGAGGAAGGCTCCTCACAAGAGCTTCAAGGGCAAGCCCCATGATGGATCCTCTTCTAGTGGGACCAAATTTGGTTCTGCTACTCCCTCTGCAATCCCTAAAGAAGTAGAGTGCTACTATTGCCACGAGAAAGGGCATTAGAAGCGGACCTGCCCGAAATATCTGCAGGACATCAAGGATGGGAAGATCAAAACCACCTTCGCAGGTATTTATACTATTCAATCTAACAACTCATCACGTGCTATTTCTTGGGTTCTTAATACAGGATG